TCACCGTACGCACGTGACCCACGTGAGTCAACGACAAGCAAGTTTAATCACTAAACGTGTAACACCCGGCAACGTCCAATGGTCGGCGAATGTTGAGAATGTACCTCTGGTTAATGTTTGTTGCACTGAAGAGGACTGGCCCTTCAGATCGTCACACATCTGCCTGGTGGCACGGATCCTTACGGACACGGGCACATTGCAAGGACGGCGGGTCAGAAAACCTTCGTAGGAACGTATCCGCCATTTTAAGGCAAAGCGCATTGCAGATGAAGATATTCTTGGTTCTTTCGGTGAAGTCACGTAGAAGGGAAACAACAAAATAAAAACTCACCGTGATTTTGTTGTTTTTCTGTGACTTTACCGAAAGAACCAAAGAACGTGAATTCCTGCAGTCGCGAAAGTTTTTTAAAATGAAAATGCAGAGAGGATGTTTGTTGTCATCAACAAGTCGCTCGTTTGTTCTGCCGGCGTGACCTCTGACCTCCACCCAGTAGTCCACTCAGGGGCGGAGCAACAGGGGGGAATGGGGGGGGGGTCAGCCCCCCCCCTGAAAATTTGGGGAAGTCGGTAAATCGGGATAACCGGATATCCGGCTGCTGCAAAATGCCGCAGGCTGCCACCTTGTGATGCCACCTTGTGTGCTGCCCTGCAGGCTGTCACCTTGTGCTGCCCTGCAGGCTGTCACCTTGTGCTGCCCTGCAGGCTGCCACCTCGTGTGCTGCCCTGCAGGCTACCACCTTGTGTGCTGCCCTGCAGGCTACCACCTCGTGTGCTGCCCTGCAGGCTACCACCTTATGATGTCACCTTGTGCTGCCCTGCAGACTGCCACCTTGTGCTGCTGCCCTGCAGGCTGCCACCTTGTGATGTCACCTTGTGTGCTGCCACCTCGTGCTGCCCTACAGGCTGCCACCTTGTGCTGCCCTGCAGGCTGCCACCTTGTGTGCTGCCCTGCAGGCTGTCACCTTGTGCTGCCCTGCAGGCTACCACCTTGTGCTGCCACCTTGTGATGTCACCTTGTGATATCACCTCATGCTGCCCTGCAGGCTGCCACCTTGTGCTGCCCTGCAGGCTGCCACCTTGTGCTGCTGCCCTGCAGGCTGCCACCTTGTGTGCTGCCCTGCAGGCTGCCACCTTGTGTGCTGCCCTGCAGGCTGCTTGAGCGGCAGCCTTGCGAACTTATCGAACTTACTGGCCACGTCGGCGGCTCCGACCTATTAATAAACTCCGCAGCTCAAATCCAATAATAAGTTTTATACATTTGTGGTGCCCATTGGAAAACACAAACACACTGAGATATCTCAGAATGTTGAAGTCAGCAACCCCCCCAAAGTCAAAATCCTGGCTCCTCGCCCCTGAGTCCACCGGACATCTCTGAAATCTACCGGACATTTGTTACAAAAAAAAGAGCTTCATTGCTCTTCGGGTTTCTCCAGTAAGTTGAGGAACCTAAACAGAGGACAGAGATGAAATTCGAGGGAAATGAATAACTTCTTACTTCTCCATTAAATCTCCTTTGATGTCAATCACGTCTTGAAGTTGCGCGCTGAGGTGTACATTTTCAAGCTGAAAGGAAACACGACACACACACTTCGCTGAGGTGACGCATACCGCTTCAACACAGTTGTCTGATAATTGTTATCTGACACACAGCACTGATAATGATGTTCGGGTTTCATAAAGCATCGTCAATCATGCAGACAAAGCGATCGCTGAGGAACCACAGACACAAATCTTATTGCTGTCCAGTTGAAGCTACAAACAGATCAGAAGCACCTTTAAATCATTGTCTTGGCAAACCAAGTGTTTCTCTATTTTAGTTAACAATGACGAATGATGAGTGGACACAATTACCAATCATAATGATGACTATGGGGAATCCACAAAAACAACCTAATCGTGATTATAACCAGACGAAATTAATGAGTTTGAAACAATATGCAGACTAAGATAATGTAGCAACGTTATTTGAGATGCCACTGCATCTCCCATTGAGCACGGTTGGCTACGTACGGTGTGAAAGAAGTTCAACATACACACACGCAGCACGGTTGGCTACGTATGGTGTGAAAGAAGTTCAACAAACACACACGTAGCACGGTTGGCTACGTACGGTGTGAAAGAAGTTCAACATACACACACGTAGCACGGTTGGCTACGTACGGTGTGAAAGAAGTTCAACATACACACACTTAGCACGGTTGGCTACGTACGGTGTGAAAGAAGTTCAACATACACACACGTAGCACGGTTGGCTACGTACGGTGTGAAAGAAGTTCAACATACACACACGTAGCACGGTTGGCTACGTACGGTATGAAAGAAGTTCAACATACACACACGTAGCACGGTTGGCTACGTACGGTGTGAAAGAAGTTCAACATACACACACACATAGCACGGTTGGCTACGTACGGTGTGAAAGATGTTCAACAAACACACACATAGCACGGTTGGCTACGTACGGTGTGAAAGAAGTTCAACATACACACACGTAGCACGGTTGGCTACGTACGGTGTGAAAGATATTAAACATACACACACGTAGCACGGTTGGCTACGTACGGTGTGAAAGATGTTCAACATACACACACGTAGCACGGTTGGCTACGTACGGTGTGAAAGATGTTCAATATACACACACAGCACGGTTGGCTACGTACGGTGTGAAAGAAGTTCAACATACACACAGTGCACTGACGAAAACCAAACCTGATCATTGGCTACGTGTCTACGTCAAAAGATTGATGAAGTTTACCGATTAGCTGACAATAAATGTTTGGGTTTGGAGAAATGAGGAGCCACTCACACCAACATTGAATGAAAGCGTTTCACTGCTTTAGTCGACAAGACTAAGAGATTTATTTTTGGTTCTTTCGGTAAAGTCACCACGTAGAAGGGAAACAATAAAGTAATAAAAATATAAAACAATATAATTCTCACGACGTTTCGACGGCAACACAAGCAATCATCATCAGGTGTGAAAACCACAGCAAGAAAATTTTAAAAAGTGGCGGTGACATTTTTTTCTTGCGGTGGTTTTCACACCTGATGATGATCGCTTGCGTTGCAGTCGAAACGTCGTGAGAATTTTATTGTTTTAAATTTTTATTATTTTATTTTTTCCCTTCTACGTGGCGACTTTACCGAAAGAATCAAGAAGAAGACGAAGAAGAGATTTGAAGTTTACGTCACTGCAGGAATCCATAATCTTTGGTTCATTCGGTAAAGTCACCACCACGTAGAAGGGAAACAATAAAATAATAAAAATATCAAACAATAAAAGTCTCACGACGTTTCGACTGCAACACAAGCAATCATCATCAGGTGTGAAAACCACAGCAAGAATTTTTTTTTAAAGAGCGGCGGTGAAAATTGTTTTCTTGCTGTGGTTTTCACACCTGACGATGATCGCTTGCGTTGCAGTCGAAACGTCATGATAATTTGATCGTTTTAAATTTTTATTATTTTATTGATTCCCTTCTACGTGGCGGTGACTTTACCGAAAGAACCAAGAATATGAATCCCTGCAGTCACGAAATATTTAAATAAAAATTTAATAAGACTAAGAGATTTGAAGTTTTTCGTCACCGCAGGAATCCACAGTCTTTGCTTTCATTCAAGTAAAGTCGCGTAGCGCGTATAAAAATACAACACAAAATAATAAATCAAATCACGACGTTTCCATCGCGACACCACAGGCGGCGGTCGTCCTCAGGCGAAAATAAAAATTAAACCTCTTGCTGCTGCTGCTGTTGTTGTTGTTGTGACAGGACTCTCTCGCTGGTTCAGCAGTTCCACTGCAGGGATTACTTTTTTTACCGCCCTAGGACAAAGCGCTTGAGGTGTTGCGATCGAAACGTCGTGGACATTTTATCATCTTTATACCTACCACGTGACTTTACCGAAGTAACCAAAGATTAAAGGCCAAGAGAATGACCGCGCGCAATGCACAAATACTCCGCGGAAACTCGACAAGTCGTCGGCCCGCAAACCAACTCAGCCATTCGCTTGTTTCTCTAAATAGCAGTAACACTAAATCACTCATATTACGGGAATACAAACGCTTTATTTTTTTAAACGCAGCTACGAGGTTTTTTTTTAGGGGGGGCGCATTTAGACCCGAGGGTTAAGGTCGTTTTTCCTCACCTAATTTTTAAATATCACGAGTTTAATTTAATAATAATAATGACGTACATTGTAATTACTCTCCGGATCAGCCTGCATCACAACCCCGCGACCACCCGGAGGAGCATGGAGGACCACCGGTGGTACGGGGGAGGGAGGGAGGGTGACCACACTGTGAGAAGCACTGCTTTAGAGAAATAAGACCACTTACTGCTGCTGCTGTTGCCCACCTGTGTTACTCACAGCCCTGAGGACCACCCGGAGGAGCGTGGTGGACCACCGGTGATACCGGGGGTGAGTGACCACACTGAGAAGCACTGCTTTAGAGAAATGAGACCACTTACTGCTGCTGCTACCCACCTGTGTTTGTCGAGTTGATTTCTGCAGAGCGTCGGCCGTCTCCTGGGCCATTCTGACAGCTTCCTCCTTTTTGCTGAGCTCAGAGTGAACTCTGACCTTCCACATGTTCAACTTGTTCATTTCACAGCGCAAAGAATTGTACGTCCTTGACACGTGATCTTTATTCTGCGAAGAAAAAAAAACAACCAAACACAACACACGGCATGAGGAGCGTGTGTCAGCAGCTTCCCAAGCCGTAGTGTCGTGAACACATCAAGATTTTCCGCTGCCCGATGACCGATCATTCGCGATAAACGTTCTTGGGTTGGCTCGCGTAAGTGTGTGTCGTTACCCTCCACCACCCGACCCAGCCAGTGAGGTTTGTCACGTAAACAAAACGCGCCAGTGAATTACTACTTCGGCCCACCGGTGTGTCGGAGAGTAAATCCACAACATTTACACATTCATACTTTACGCGATATAACCCAAAAAACATTTATTATACGAATATAATTGGTCGTGAAAGCCTACGTGTTGAACTGATTATTATTACTCCATTTCAACCGAAAACTCGATCAAGTCATGTACAAGCACAAATACACGGTTTTTTTATTTTTTAAATTAACTTTCCCTTAAAACGTCCTTTGCCAAGTGCTAGTGAACGTAAAAATGTTTAAGGCGCAGATCTGAAATTGTTTGATCGTAATCACTGCTGGCAAAAGGGCCTCCACTAGAGGGCGCTCAGTAGAGGCTGAACTCTTCCACGCTGTTCAAGACGTCTTGGAAGAGAAACCCTCACTAGGGGCTGAACTCTTCCACGCTGGGGAGACGTCTTGGTAGAGAACCCTCACTAGGGGCTGAACTCTTCCACGCTGTTCAAGACGTCTTGGAAGAGAAACCCTCCCTAGGGGCTGAACTCTTCCACGCTGGGGAGACGTCTTGGTAGAGAAACCCTCACTAGGGGCTGAACTCTTCCACGCTGTTCAAGACGTCTTGGAAGAGAAACCCTCACTAGGGGCTGAACTCTTCCACGCTGAGACGTCTTGGTAGAGAAACCCTCACTAGGGGCTGAACTCTTCCACGCTGTTCAAGACGTCTTGGAAGTGAAACCCTCACTAGGGGCTGAACTCTTCCACGCTGTTCAAGACGTCTTGGAAGTGAAACCCTCACTAGGGGCTGAACTCTTCCACGCTGTTCAAGACGTCTTGGAAGTGAAACCCTCACTAGGGGCTGAACTCTTCCACGCTGTTCAAGACGTCTTGGTAGAGAAACCCTCACTAGGGGCTGAACTCTTCCACGCTGTTCAAGACGTCTTGGAAGAGAAACCCTCACTAGGGGCTGAACTCTTCCACGCTGTTCAAGACGTCTTGGTAGAGAAACCCTCACTAGGGGCTGAACTCTTCCCGCTGTTCAAGACGTCTTGGTAGAGAGAAACCCTCACTAGGGGCTGAACTCTTCCACGCTGTTCAAGACGTCTTGGTAGAGAAACCCTCACTAGGGGCTGAACTCTTCCACGCTGGTCAAGACGTCTTGGTAGAGAAACCCCTCACTAGGGGCTGAAACTCTTCCACGCTGGGGAGACGTCTTGGAAGAGAAACCCTCACTAGGGGCTGAACTCTTCCACGCTGTTCAAGGACGTCTGGAAGAGAAAACCCCTCACTAGGGGCTGAACTCTTCCACGCTGTTCAAGAACGTCTTGGTAAGAGAAACCCTCACTAGGGGGCTGAACTCTTCCACGCTGTTCAAGACGTCTTGGTAGAGGAACCCTCACTAGGGGCTGAACTCTTCCACGCTGTTCCAGACGTCTTGGTAAGGAAACCCTCACTAGGGGCTGAACTCTTCCACGCTGTTCAAGACGTCTTGTAGAGAAACCCTCACTAGGGGATGAACTCTTCCACGCTGTTCAGAGACGTCTTGGAAGAGAACCCTCACTAGGGCTAACTCTTCCACGCTGTTCAAGACGTCTTGGAAGAGAAACCCTCACTAGGGGCTGAACTCTTCCACGCTGTTCAAGACGTCTTGGTAAGAGAAACCCTCACTAGGGGCTGAACTCTTCCACGCTGTTCAAGGACGTCTTGGTAGAGAAACCCTCACTAGGGGCTGAACTCTTCCACGCCGTTCAAGACGTCTTGGTAGAGAAACCCTCACTAGGGGCTGAACTCTTCCACGCTGTTCAAGACGTCTTGGAAGTGAAACCCTCACTAGGGGCTGAACTCTTCCACGCTGTTCAAGACGTCTTGGTAAGAGAAACCCTCACTAGGGGCTGAACTCTTCCACGCTGTTCAAGACGTCTTGGTAGAGAACCCTCACTAGGGGCTGAACTCTTCCACGCTGTTCAAGACGTCTTGGTAAGAGAAACCCTCACTAGGGGCTGAACTCTTCCACGCTGTTCAAGACGTCGTGGTAGAGAACCCTCACTAGGGGCTGAACTCTTCCACGCTGTTCAAGACGTCTTGGTAGAGGAAACCCTCACTAGGGGCTGAAGTCTTCCACGCTGTTCAAGACGTCTTGGTAGAGAAACCCTCACTAGGGGCTGAACTCTTCCACGCTGTTCAAGACGTCTTGGAAGAGAACCCTCACTAGGGGCTGAACTCTTCCACGCTGTTCAAGACGTCTTGGTAGAGGAAACCCTCACTAGGGGCTGAACTCTTCCACGCTGTTCAAGACGTCTTGGTAGAGAAAACCCTCACTAGGGGCTGAACTCTTCCACGCTGTTCAAGACAGTCTTGGTAAGATGAAACCCTCACTAGGGGCTGAACTCTTCCACGCTGTTCAAGACGTCTTGGATAGAGAAACCCTCACTAGGGGCTGAACTCTTCCACGCTGTTCAAGACGTCTTAGGTAGAGAAACCCTCACTAGGGGCTGAACTCTTCCACGCTGTTCAAGACGTCTTGGTAAGAGAAACCCTCACTAGGGGCTGAACTCTTCCACGCTGTTCAGACGTCTTGGTAGAGGAACCCTCACTAGGGGCTGAACTCTTCCACGCTGTTCAAGACGTCTTGGAAGAGAAACCCTCACTAGGGGCTGAACTCTTCCACGCTGTTCAAGACGTCTTGGTAGAGAAACCCTCACTAGGGGCTGAACTCTTCCACGCTGTTCAAGACGTCTTGGTAGAGAACCCTCACTAGGGGCTGAACTCTTCCACGCTGTTCAAGACGTCTTGGTAGAGAAACCCTCACTAGGGGCTGAACTCTTCCACGCTGTTCAAGACGTCTTGGTAGAGAAACCCTCACTAGGGGCTGAACTCTTCCACGCTGTTCAAGACGTCTTGGTAGAGAAACCCTCACTAGGGGCTGAACTCTTCCACGCTGTTCAAGACGTCTTGGAAGAGAAACCCTCACTAGGGGCTGAACTCTTCCACGCTGTTCAAGACGTCTTGGTAGAGAAACCCTCACTAGGGGCTGAACTCTTCCACGCGTTCAAGACGTCTTGGAGAGAAACCCTCACTAGGGGCTGAACTCTTCCACGCTGTTCAAGACGCCTTGGAAGTGAAACCCTCACTAGGGGCTGACCTCTTCCACGCGTTCAAGACGTCTTGGTAGAGAAACCCTCACTAGGGGCTGAACTCTTCCACGCTGTTCAAGACGTCTTGGTAGAGAAACCCTCACTAGGGGCTGAACTCTTCCACGCTGTTCAAGACGTCTTGGAAGAGAAACCCTCACTAGGGGCTGAACTCTTCCACGCTGTTCAAGACGTCTTGGAAGAGAAACCCTCACTAGGGGCTGAACTCTTCCACGCTGTTCAAGACGTCTTGGTAGAGAAACCCTCACTAGGGGCTGAACTCTTCCACGCTGTTCAAGACGTCTTGGTAGAGAAACCCTCACTAGGGGCTGAACTCTTCCACGCTGTTCAGACGTCTTGGTAAGAGAAACCCTCACTAGGGGCTGAACTCTTCCACGCTGTTCAAGACGTCTTGGTAGAGAAACCCTCACTAGGGGCTGAACTCTTCCACGCTGTTCAAGACGTCTTGGTAAGAGAAACCCTCACTAGGGGCTGAACTCTTCCACGCTGTTCAGACGTCTTGGTAAGAGAAACCCTCACTAGGGGGCTGAACTCTTCCACGCTGTTCAAGACGTCTTGGAAGAGAAACCTCACTAGGGGCTGAACCTCTTCCACGCTGTTCAAGACGTTTTTGTAGAGAAACCCTCACTAGGGGCTGAACTCTTCCACGCTGTTTCAAGACGTCTTGGTAGAGGAACCCTCACTAGGTGGCTGAACTTCTTCCACGCTGTTCAAGACGTCTTGGTAGAGAAACCCTCACTAGGGGATGAACTCTTCCACGCTGTTCAAGACGTCTTGGTAGAGAAACCCTCACTAGGGGCTGAACTCTTCCACGCTGTTCAAGACGTCGTGGCAAGAGAAACCCTCACTAAGGGCTAAACCTCTTCCACGCTGTTCAAAGACGTCTTGAAGAGAAACCCTCACTAGGGGCTGAAACTCTTCCACGCTGTTCAAGACGTCTTGGAAGAGAAACCCTCACTAGGGGCTGAACGTCTTCCACGCTGTTCAAGACGTCTTGGTAGAGGAACCCTCACTAGGGGCTGAACTCTTCCACGCTGTTCAAGACGTCTTGGTAAGAGAAACCCTCACTAGGGGCTGAACTCTTCCACGCTGTTCAAGACGTCTTGGAGAGTGAAACCCTCACTAGGGGCTGAACTCTTCCACGCCTGTTCAAGACGTCTTGGTAGAGGAACCCTCACTAGGGGCTGAACTCTTCCACGCTGTTCAAGACGTCTTGGAGAGAAACCCTCACTAGGGGCTTAACTCTTCCACGCTGTTCAAGACGTCTTGGTAGAGAAACCCTCACTAGGGGCTGAACTCTTCCACGCTGTTCAAGACGTCTTGGAAGAGAAACCCTCACTAGGGGCTGAACTCTTCCACGCTGTTCAAGACGTCTTGGAAGAGAAACCCTCACTAGGGGCTGAACTCTTCCACGCTGTTCAAGACGTCTTGGTAGAGAAACCCTCACTAGGGGCTGAACTCTTCCACGCTGTTCAAGACGTCTTGGTAGAGTGAACCCCTCACTAGGGGCTGAACTCTTCCACGCTGTTCAAGACGTCTTGGAAGAGAACCCTCACTAGGGGCTGAACTCTTCCACGCTGTTCAAGACGTCTTGGTAGAGAAACCCTCACTAGGGGCTGAACTCTTCCACGCTGTTCAAGACGTCTTGGATAGAGAAACCCTCACTAGGGGCTGAACTCTTCCACGCTGTTCAAGACTTCTTAAGGTAAGAGAAACCCTCACTAGGGGCTGAACTCTTCCACGCTGTTCAAGACGTCTTGGTAGAGGAACCCTCACTAGGGCTGAACTCTTCCACGCTGTTCAAGACGTCTTGGTAGAGAAACCCTCACTAGGGGCTGAACTCTTCCACGCTGTTCAAGACGTCCTTGGTAGAGGAAACCCTCACTAGGGGCTGAACTCTTCCACGCTGTTCAAGACGTCTTGGTAGAGGAACCCTCACTAGGGGCTGAACTCTTCCACGCTGTTCAAGACGTCTTGGTAGAGAAACCCTCACTAGGGCTGAACTCTTCCACGCTGTTCAAGACGTCTTGGTAGAGGAAACCCTCACTAGGGGCTGAACTCTTCCACGCGTTCAAGACGTCTTGGAAGAGAAACCCTCACTAGGGGCTGAACTCTTCCACGCTGTTCAAGACTGTCTTGGTAGAGAAACCCTCACTAGGGGCTGAACTCTTCCACGCTGTTCAAGACGTCTTGGAAGAGAAACCCTCACTAGGGGCTGAACTCTTCCACGCTGTTCAAGACATCTTAAGGAAGAGAAACCCTCACTAGGGGCTGAACTCTTCCACGCTGTTCAAGACGTCTTGGTAGAGGAAACCCTCACTAGGGGCTGAACTCTTCCACGCCTTTCAAGACGTCTTGGTAGAGAAACCCTCACTAGGGGCTGAACTCTTCCACGCTGTTCAAGACGTCTTGGTAGAGAAACCCTCACTAGGGGCTGAACTCTTCCACGCTGTTCAAGACGTCTTGGTAGAGGAACCCTCACTAGTGGCTGAACTCTTCCACGCTGTTCAAGACGTCTTGGTAGAGGAACCCTCACTAGGGGCTGAACTCTTCCACGCTGTTCAAGACGTCTTGGAAGAGAAACCCTCACTAGGGGCTGAACTCTTCCACGCTGTTCAAGATGTCTTGGTAGAGAAACCCTCACTAGAGACTGAACTCTTCCACGCTGTTCAAGACGTCTTGGTAGAGAAGCCCTCACTAGGGGCTGAACTCTTCCACGCTGTTCAAGACGTCTTGGAAGAGAAACCCTCACTAGGGGCTGAACTCTTCCACGCTGTTCAAGACGTCTTCGTAGAGAAACCCTCACTAGGGGCTGAACTCTTCCACGCTGTTCAAGACGTCTTGGAAGAGAAACCCTCACTAGGGGCTGAACTCTTCCACGCTGTTCAAGACGTCTTAAAGGAAGAGAAACCCTCACTAGGGGCTGAACTCTTCCACGCTGTTCAAGACGTCTTGGTAGAGGAACCCTCACTAGGGGCTGAACTCTTCCACGCTGTTCAAGACGTCTTGGTAGAGAAACCCTCACTAGGGGCTGAACTCTTCCACGCTGTTCAAGACGTCTTAAAGGAAGAGAAACCCTCACTAGGGGCTGAACTCTTCCACGCTGTTCAAGACGTCTTGGTAGAGGAACCCTCACTAGGGGCTGAACTCTTCCACGCCGTTCAAGACGTCTTGGTAGAGAAACCCTCACTAGGGGCTGAACTCTTCCACGCTGTTCAAGACGCCTTGGAAGTGAAACCCTCACTAGGGGCTGAACTCTTCCACGCCGTTCAAGACGTCTTGGTAGAGGAACCCTCACTAGGGGCTGAACTCTTCCACGCTGTTCAAGACGTCTTGGTAGAGAAACCTTCACTAGGGGCTGAACTCTTCCACGCTGTTCAAGACATCTTGGAAGAGAAACCCTCACTAGGGGCTGAACTCTTCCACGCTGTTCAAGACGTCTTGGAAGAGAAACCCTCACTAGGGGCTGAACTCTTCCACGCTGTTCAAGACGTCTTGGTAGAGAAACCCTCACTAGGGGCTGAACTCTTCCACGCTGTTCAAGACGTCTTGGTAGAGGAACCCTCACTAGGGGCTGAACTCTTCCACGCTGTTCAAGACGTCTTGGAAGAGAAACCCTCACTAGGGGCTGAACTCTTCCACGCTGTTCAAGATGTCTTGGTAGAGAAACCCTCACTAGGGGCTGAACTCTTCCACGCTGTTCAAGACGTCTTGGAAGAGAAACCCTCACTAGGGGCTGAACTCTTCCACGCTGTTCAAGACATCTTAAAGGAAGAGAAACCCTCACTAGGGGCTGAACTCTTCCACGCTGTTCAAGACGTCTTGGTAGAGGAACCCTCACTAGGGGCTGAACTCTTCCACGCCGTTCAAGACGTCTTGGTAGAGAAACCCTCACTAGGGGCTGAACTCTTCCACGCTGTTCAAGACGTCTTGGAAGTGAAACCCTCACTAGGGGCTGAACTCTTCCACGCCGTTCAAGACGTCTTGGTAGAGGAACCCTCACTAGGGGCTGAACTCTTCCACGCTGTTCAAGACGTCTTGGTAGAGAAACCCTCACTAGGGTATGAACTCTTCCACGCTGTTCAAGACATCTTGGAAGAGAAACCCTCACTAGGGGCTGAACTCTTCCACGCTGTTCAAGACGTCTTGGAAGAGAAACCCTCACTAGGGGCTGAACTCTTCCACGCTGTTCAAGACGTCTTGGAAGAGAAACCCTCACTAGGGGCTGAACTCTTCCACGCTGTTCAAGATGTCTTGGAAGAGAAACCCTCACTAGAGACTGAACTCTTCCACGCTGTTCAAGATGTCTTGGTAGAGAAGCCCTCACTAGGGGCTGAACTCTTCCACGCTGTTCAAGACGTCTTGGTAAAGACACCCTCACTAGGGGCTGAACTCTTCCACGCTGTTCAAGACGTCTTGGTAGAGAAACCCTCACTAGGGGCTGAACTCCTCCACGCTGGGGAGACGTCTTGGAAGTGATGGTAGTACCCACACTTTACCCCACCACATGCGGCCTGCCATTCAACTGCGGTGTACCAATATATACTGCAGAGTGGACAGAGGTGGGACATTGTAGACACGTGCCTATTAAACCTGGCACGCCTGGACATCACGACCTTGTGGACCGCAAGTCCAGCGTGCTGAACCATTGCGCACCGTGGCAGCAGCCCCAAGCTTCGTGAAACTAAATAAATTTTCACTTGAAGCTTTCACGACTGCAGTGATTCACATTCTCGGTTCTTTCGGTAAAGTCACCGCCACGTAGAAAGGGAAACAATAAAATTATCACGACGTTTCGACTGCAACACAAGCAGCGATCATCGTCAGGTGTGAAAACCACAGCAAGAAAATTTGAAAAAAGTTTTTTTTAAACGTCAGTACCACGGAGAGCGATTTGGCAGCTTGTTCAGATGTTTGAAACGTCGCGAGAATTTTATTGTTTTATATTTTTATTATTGTATCGTTTCCCTTCTACGTGGTGACTTTACCGAAAGAACCGAGAATATGAAACTAGATGAATCGGTATTTTCTTAGAATGACCGTATTATTAATGTGAAATAACGATGCACATCTGTGGACACGTTTCAATGTGATCAGCGAGTCATCTTGCCTCTTGCCCATCAAGCGGCAGCGGCGGCGGCGGTGGCGTGCTCTGCCGAGGTTGATGCTGCTCAGTGATGTTTGCTTGAGCTGCGAACAAAAATTGCGCACAATTAAGTTAAAGTACATCCTAGATTTAAAGCTTTCGTGACTGCTAGGATCCATACTCTTTGGTTCTATTGGTTCTATTGGGTTTATTTTCACCTACGTGACTTTACCCAATAGAACCAAAGAGTATTAAAGTACATCGTTCATAATAGCACCGCACGAGATGTACATTGGTACACGTTGACACACGTATCGCTTTTTAGAACTTTCCAACTGAGGTTTAGTGCTCAGCTCAGTCGGGGTGTCTGTCGGCAATGAGAGGTTATGATGAGCATCATAAATATGAATAAATCTTCAGTAAAATTGCGTTCTGATATAAAGTGCTTGCCCTGTAGAAAAATCGGCGAACTGACCAAAAGTTTTTTCCCAAAAAAACTTTGGAGACAAAAGCCAGCATTAAAGGAACCCATCAACTAAACGAAACTAAACTTGTTATTTTACCACGTAAGAGCCCGCTCGGATACGTAGCTCTTGTTCAGAAGCGACCTGGCCACAGTTGATAAGCTCAACAAAGTGGTTCATCACCACGTGTCAATGTATATCAGCCGCATTACTCTTAAACGTCACGTTTTTCTAAATGCGCGGGGAAACAACGCAGGGCATGGAGCAACATCAACACCGCCGTGGGGAGAACGCGCAAACTTTCAAACGCACGGGCGTCAGGGGTCGGGATCGAACCCACGCCCCTCCTGCGTACCGGGCGAGGTAGTTAACATCTCCTAGCCACCGTGATGATGATGATGATGAGAGAGAGACACGCAAACTCCAAATACACAGCAACAGGCGTCAGGGTTGGGATCGAACCCACGACCCTCCTGCGTACCGGGCGAGGTAGTTAACATCTCCTAGCCACCGTGATGATGATGATGAGAGAGAGACACGCAAACTCCAAATACACAGCAACAGGCGTCAGGGGTCGGGATCGAACCCACGACCTCCTGCGTACCGGGCGAGGTAGTTAACGTCTCCTAGCCACCGTGATGATGATGATGAGAGAGAGACACGCAAACTCCAAATACACAGCAACAGGCGTCAGGGGTCGGGATCGAACCCACGACCCTCCTGCGTACCAGGCGAGGTAGTTAACGTCTCCTAGCCAACGCGGTCCACCTGCCCTAGGCACGCACACCTAGGCCGAGCCGCTTTTCATCGCGGCGTGACGGACGTACCGCCTCTTGCGTTCCTGGGGCAAGCGCTGCCTAACCATCGTTATCGTCAATGACTAAGCAGAGCACCGCACCGTACTTCTGACGTCAAACGCCGGTTGAAAAGCGCAAGCGGAATTCGTGCTCGGCGATCAATGTGGACATCGGAGGATTGAGATCGTTTTAAGTAAAATAAGCGGCGCGATTGGTTTACAGATTGGAGCCAGGCGATACACGGGGCCATGATCTACAGCTGAAAGGAATACCTTGACCTTGGCGGTGTCACTTGACCATGACCAAGTTGACTGACCTTGCAATAGCATCCTCTGTGCTTGACCTTGTTGAACCTGTCCAGTTTCACCACGACCCACTTGACCTTGTCCAAGTTGACCCCAAGCGTGACCCAATGGCTCCTGGACTTGGCCCAGTGGACAATGAGATTGCCTTGGCTGACTCAGGCCCTGATTAGGTTGACCTCGGCCTTGCCCCAGCAGACCATGGGCGTGCCCTGACAGTCCCTGGCCCTGCTCGGGTTGACGCTGACCCTGTTTTGGCTGAGTCTGACCTCGGCCCAATTGGGGTTTTTTTTTCCCGTCGTGATATTGGCTCTGCCCTGGCTGATTGTGGCCTTGAATTGCCACTCCGTCGCCTTCCCCCGGCTGACCCTGCCCTTTATTACCCCAACCTTGAGTCGATGGCCCCTGCCCTGGCTGATTGTGGCCTTGAATTGCCACTCCGTCGCCTTCCCCCGGCTGACCCTGCCCTTTATTACCCCAACCTTGAATCGAAGGCCCCTGCCCTGGCTGATTGTGGCCTTGAATTGCCACTCCGTCGCCTTCCCCCGGCTGACCCTGCCCTTTATTACCCCAACCTTGAACCGATGGCCCCTGGATTTGCCCACCAGATTGACCTTCACCTTGTCCCATCTGACACCACCCGTGACCCAACATCACCTGGAATGGCCCCGTTTGACCGCGACCTTGCCCTAGCTGACTCTGGCCACGGCTCGATGGCTCCCGGACCTGCCTAGATTGACGGTGACCTCGTTCATTCTCTGAAACACTGCCCAAGATGCACCGTATTTTGAAGTCGGGGAGCGTGGAAAAACTGCTGCCCAAATTTCGGCTGAAGGTTTCATTGTCGTTCCCCTCCATGTTGTATTCTTTGCACACTCCTCCGATAGCCGTCTTCCTGCATGACGCACAGACACCGTGTACGTGCACGCAAGAAAAAAAAACAAATGTGGAATTTATTAAGACAGCGCCACTGCTGCAGAGCAATCCAGATGGCACCAGCGAGATCTCTCGGCAAAGCAACTTACAAGTTTAAATGGGAATCATTTTTTTTTAATTGCCACCGCCCGTCTGTTTACGCTGTAGCGTTAATGGAGGTGGGGGCAAACAGCGTTGTTGCTGCAATTTTTACATTTTTCAAAAATACGAATGCAACAAGTTTCCCAATACGTCAATCGGTAATTGTATTTTCATGGTGTTACTGTATTGATTTTGTGCTTTGCTGCACTGACAATGAGAATCTAGATTCATTTGTCGATTTAAAGCTTTCGTGACTGCAAGGATTCATCTTCTTTGGTTCTTTCGGTAAAGTCACCATCACGTAGAAAGAGAATAAAATAATAAATTGATAAAATAAAATAACACAATAAAATTCTCACGACGTTTCGGCCACAACACAAGTGGCCTTCATCAGATGAAGGGACGAGACTGTCTAGAGGACAGCGCTGGAGCGAGCGCTGTCCCTTCACCTGATGAAGGCCACTTGTGTTGTGGCCGAAACGTCGTGAGAATTTTATCGTGTTATTTTATTTTATTAATTTATTATTTTATTCTCATTCTACGTGGTGGTGACTTTACCGAAAGAACCAAAGAAGATGAATCTAGCTTAACATCAAAGTTCTTCAAATGGAGTTCCCTCAACGTAAGGCCTACCCCGTGCTCCTGATCATTGTGACCACACAATGCTATAATTAGCTGACACGTGCCTATTGATCCAAGAGCCACATCGAGTGAATTTTTTTTTTCTTAAGTGTCCTGCATTTAGTTTTTATTTTATTTTAAGATGTAATAACAGTTGTGCTTATTATTGTTATTATACACGTGTGGGAGGAAATCGCAGCACCGGGAGAAAACTCCACGTGGCGTGCGAGGGGGAAACACTCAAACCCCCCCCAAAGAGATGGAAAGTGATGGCGATTTGAATACTTGCTGCCACTGCCTTCACCTGGCGTGCCCAGGGTATGGCCATCCCCTCGACGCCCACGGGAATAGAATTTCACAACATGTTGACATGTTTACACCAAACAATAACACAAAGATCCCACACCGTGTAGCCTGTAACAGGCTGTAGGGGCAAGTGCTGTTAGCGAGCAGCAGCTATGAAGGCTACCGGCACTGTGGCACACGAGGGGGGTGGGTGGCCAGCACCACGCCCGGCCGCCTTTGTCTCCCCAGTGCTAGCGATGTTTTACTACTACACACCGCTACACCAGCTACTCATTTGAGGCTGAGTCGACCTAGGGGAGTCCCAGAACCGGTTGAGATAATCATCGCCGGCGGTGTTGGAAGGCCCGAAGTGAATCACTCAACAACAACAACACGGTGTGGTGATTAGACCACTAAGCTAGACACATTGTCAAGGCCCCAAGTGAATCACTCAACAACAACACCACGGTGTGGTGATTAGACCACTAAGCTAGACACATTGTCAAGGCCCCAAGTGAATCACTCAACAACAACAAGAACACCACGGTGTGGTGATTAGACCACTAAGCTAGACGCATTGTCAAGGCCCCAAGTGAATCAATCAACAACAACAACACGGTCTGGTGATTAGACCACTAAGCTAGACACATTGTCAAGGCCCCAAGTGAATCACTCAACAACAACAACAACACCACGGTGTGGTGATTAGACCACTAAGCTAGACACATTGTCAAGGCCCCAAGTGAATCACTCAACAACAACAAAACAACACGGTGTGGTGATTAGACCACTAAGCTAGACACATTGTCAAGGCCCCAAGTGAATCACTCAACAACAACAACACCATGGTGTGGTGATTAGACCACTAAGCTAGACACATTGTCAAGGTCCCAAGTGAATCACTCAACAACAACAACACAGTGTGGTGATTAGACCACTAAGCTAGACACATTGTCAAGGCCACAAGTGAATCACTCAACAACAACATGGTGTGGTGATTAGACCACTAAGCTAGACACATTGTCAAGGCCCCAAGTGAATCACTCAACAACAACTACACGGTGTGGTGATTAGACCACTAAGCTAGACACATTGTCAAGGCCCCAAGTGAATCACTCAACAACAACAACAACACGGTGTGGTGATTAGACCACTAAGCTAGACACATTGTCAAGGCCCCAAGTGAATCACTCAACAACAACAACACTGTGTGGTGATTAGACCACTAAGCTAGACACATTGTCAAGGCCCCAAGTGAATCACTCAACAACACGGTGTGGTGATTAGACCACTAAGCTAGACACATTGTCAAGGCCCCAAGTGAATCACTCAACAACAACATGGTGTGGTGATTAGACCACTAAGCTAGACACATTGTCAAGGCCCCAAGTGAATCACTCAACAACAACTACACGGTGTGGTGATTAGACCACTAAGCTAGACACATTGTCAAGGCCCCAAGTGAATCACTCAACAACAACAACACCACGGTGTGGTGATTAGACCACTAAGCTAGACACATTGTCAAGGCCCCAAGTGGATCACTCAACAACAACAACACTGTGTGGTGATTAGACCACTAAGCTAGACACATTGTCAAGGCCCCAAGTGAATCACTCAACAACAACACCACGGTGTGGTGATTAGACCACTAAGCTAGACACATTGTCAAGGCCCCAAGTGAATCACTCAACAACAACAACAACACGGTGTGGTGATTAGACCACTAAGCTAGACACATTGTCAAGGCCCCAAGTGAATTACTCACCAACAACAACAACACCACGGTGTGGTGATTAGACCACTAAGCTAGACGCATTGTCAAGGCCCCAAGTGAATCACTCAACAACAACAACAACACTGTGTGGTGATTAGACCACTAAGCTAGACACATTGTCAAGGCCCCAAGTGAATCACTCAACAACAACAACAACACTGTGTGGTGATTAGACCACTAAGCTAGACACATTGTCAAGGCCCCAAGTGAATCACTCAACAACAACAACACCAAGGTGTGGTGATTAGACCACTAAGCTAGACACATTGTCAAGGCCCCAAGTGAATCACTCAACAACAACAACACCACGGTGTGGTGATTAGACCACTAAGCTAGACACATTGTCAAGGCCCCAAGTGAATCACTCAACAACAACACCAAGGTGTGGTGATTAGACCACTAAGCTAGACACATTGTCAAGGCCCCTAGTGAATCACTCAACAACAACAACACCAAGGTGTGGTGATTAGACCACTAAGCTAGACGCATTGTCAAGGCCCCAAGTGAATCACTCAACAACAACAAAACAACACGGTGTGGTGATTAGACCACTAAGCTAGACACATTGTCAAGGCCCCAAGTGAATCACTCAACAACAACACCACGGTGTGGTGATTAGACCACTAAGCTAGACACATTGTCAAGGCCCCAAGTGAATCACTCAACAACAACAAGAACACCACGGTGTGGTGATTAGACCACTAAGCTAGACGCATTGTCAAGGCCCCAAGTGAATCACTCAACAACAACAACACGGTGTGGTGATTAGACCACTAAGCTAGACACATTGTCAAGGCCCCAAGTGAATCACTCAACAACAACAACAACACCACGGTGTGGTGATTAGACCACTAAGCTAGACACATTGTCAAGGCCCCAAGTGAATCACTCAACAACAACAACACCACGGTGTGGTGATTAGACCACTAAGCTAGACACATTGTCAAGGCCCCAAGTGAATCACTCAACAACAACAACACCATGGTGTGGTGATTAGACCACTAAGCTAGACACATTGTCAAGGCCCCAAGTGAATCACTCAACAACAACAACACAGGTGTGGTGATTAGACCACTAAGCTAGACACATTGTCAAGGCCCCAAGTTAAACACTCAACAACAACACACAGGTGTGGTGATTAGACCACTAAGCTAGACACATTGTCAAGGCCCCAAGTGAATCACTCAACAACAACAACACAGTGTGGTGATTAGACCACTAAGCTAGACACATTGTCAAGGCCCCAAGTGAATCACTCAACAACAACAACACACGGTGTGGTGATTAGACCACTAAGCTAGACACATTGTCAAGGCCCCAAGTGAATCACTCAACAACAACAAAACAACACGGTGTGGTGATTAGACCACTAAGCTAGACAGCATTGTCAAGGCCCCAAGTGAATCACTCAACAACAACAACACGGTCTGGTGATTAGACCACTAAGCTAGACACATTGTCAAGGCCCCAAGTGAATCACTCAACAACAACAACAACACCACGGTGTGGTGATTAGACCACTAAGCTAGACACATTGTCAAGGCCCCAAGTGAATCACTCAACAACAACAAACACCACGGTGTGGTGATTAGACCACTAAGCTAGACACATTGTCAAGGCCCCAAGTGAATCACTCAACAACAACAACACCATGGTGTGGTGATTAGACCACTAAGCTAGACACATTGTCAAGGTCCCCAAGTGAATCACTCAACAACAACAACACAGTGTGGTGATTAGACCACTAAGCTAGACACATTGTCAAGGCCACAAGTGAATCACTCAACAACAACATGGTGTGGTGATTAGACCACTAAGCTAGACACATTGTCAAGGCCCCAAGTGAATCACTCAACAACAACTACACAGTGTGGTGATTAGACCACTAAGCTAGACACATTGTCAAGGCCCCAAGTGAATCACTCAACAACAACAACAACACGGTGTGGTGATTAGACCACTAAGCTAGACACATTGTCAAGGCCCCAAGTGAATCACTCAACAACAACAACACTGTGTGGTGATTAGACCACTAAGCTAGACACATTGTCAAGGCCCCAAGTGAATCACTCAACAACAACACGGTGTGGTGATTAGACCACTAAGCTAGACACATTGTCAAGGCCCCAAGTGAATCACTCAACAACAACATGGTGTGGTGATTAGACCACTAAGCTAGACACATTGTCAAGGCCCCAAGTGAATCACTCAACAACAACTACACGGTGTGGTGATTAGACCACTAAGCTAGTACACATTGTCAAGGCCCCAAGTGAATCACTCAACAACAACAACACCACGGTGTGGTGATTAGACCACTAAGCTAGACACATTGTCAAGGCCCCAAGTGATCACTCAACAACAACAACACTGTGTGGTGATTAGACCACTAAGCTAGACACATTGTCAAGGCCCCAAGTGAATCACTCAACAACAACACCACGGTGTGGTGATTAGACCACTAAGCTAGACACATTGTCAAGGCCCCAAGTGAATCACTCAACAACAACAAGGTGTGGTGATTAGACCACTAAGCTAGACACATTGTCAAGGCCCCAAGTGAATCACTCAACAACAACAACACTGTGTGGTGATTAGGCCACTAAGCTAGACACATTGTCAAGGCCCCAAGTGAATCACTCAACAACACGGTGTGGTGATTAGACCACTAAGCTAGACACATTGTCAAGGCCCCAAGTGAATTACTCACCAACAACAACAACAACACCACGGTGTGGTGATTAGACCACTAAGCTAGACGCATTGTCAAGGCCCCAAGTGAATCACTCAACAACAACAACACCAATGTGTGGTGATTAGACCACTAAGCTAGACACATTGTCAAGGCCCCAAGTGAATCACTCAACAACAACAACAACACTGTGTGGTGATTAGACCACTAAGCTAGACACATTGTCAAGGCCCCAAGTGAATCACTCAACAACAACACCAAGGTGTGGTGATTAGACCACTAAGCTAGACGCATTGTCAAGGCCCCAAGTGAATCACTCAACAACAACAACACCAAGGTGTGGTGATTAGACCATTAAGCTAGACGCATTGTCAAGGCCCCAAGTGAATCACTCAACAACAACAACACCACGGTGTGGTGATTAGACCACTAAGCTAGACGCATTGTCAAGGCCCCAAGTGAATCACTCAACAACAACAACACCACGGTGTGGTGATTAGACCACTAAGCTAGACACATTGTCAAGGCCCCAAGTGAATCACTCAACAACAACAACACCAAGGTGTGGTGATTAGACCACTAAGCTAGACACATTGTCAAGGCCCCAAGTGAATCACTCAACAACAACAACAACACGGTGTGGTGATTAGAACACTAAGCTAGACACATTGTCAAGGCCCCAAGTGAATCACTCAACAACAACACGGTGTGGTGATTAGACCACTAAGCTAGACACATTGTCAAGGCCCCAAGTGAATCACTCAACAACAACAACACCAAGGTGTGGTGATTAGACCACTAAGCTAGACACATTGTCAAGGCCCCAAGTGAATCACTCAACAACAACACCAAGGTGTGGTGATTAGACCACTAAGCTAGACACATTGTCAAGGCCCCAAGTGAATCACTCAACAACAACACCAACACGGTGTGGTGATTAGACCACTAAGCTAGACGCATTGTCAAGGCCCCAAGTGAATCACTCAACAACAACAACACCACGGTGTGGTGATTAGACCACTAAGCTAGACACATTGTCAAGGCCCCAAGTGAATCACTCAACAACAACACCAAGGTGTGGTGATTAGACCACTAAGCTAGACGCATTGTCAAGGCCCCAAGTGAATCACTCAACAACAACAACACCAAGGTGTGGTGATTAGACCACTAAGCTAGACGCATTGTCAAGGCCCCAAGTGAATCACTCAACAATCTCTCTCTGTAATGATGATGATGATCGTGAACAATGTCTCTCTGTAATGATGATGATGATCGTGAACAATCTCTCTCTGTAATGATGATGATGATCGTGAACAATGTCTCTCTGTAATGATGATGATCGTGAACAATCTCTCTCTGTAATAATGCTGATCGTGAACAATCTCTCTCTCCATAATGATGATGATCGTGAACAATCTCTCTCTGTAATGATGATCGTGAACAATCTCTCTCTGTAATGATGATGATCGTGAACAATCTCTCTCTGTAATGATGATGATGATCGTGAACAATCTCTCTCTGTAATGATAATGATCGTGAACAATCTCTCTCTGTAATGATGATGATCGTGAACAATCTCTCTCTGTAATGATGATCGTGAACAATCTCTCTGTAATGATGATGATGATCGTGACGTCTGGCACAGATGATGATAGAGTTAGGCCCAAATCAACCTTCGCGATGCTTTGATCCGCCGGCGATTGTAGGCGCAGGAGTCGCCTCGATTGTTGCGGCCTGTACGCCTTGCGGTATACTTCGTGCAACTACAGACTCCTAAAGCAACTTAACGAGACGTGAAAGTTAAAACTTTTAAAAATAAAAACCTCCACCACCAAGCCGCGCTGCGTGAGTAGAATAGTGACGCTCGCGCGCCAAGAATCGACTCTTTAAATCGAGAGTAAAGGAATCGAAGGTTGTAGATTCCTTTAGAATCGGCCTATTCCCGTTTAATCGATGCCACAGACGCTCACCGGATATCGATTCTCGCCGGTCGTGCACCGTGCGATAAAGGTCCGTTACCCGAAACGTCGCCTGTTAAATATTGGTGATTAGACCACTAAGCTAGACACATTGTCAAGGCCCCAAGTGAATCACTCAACAACAACACCACGGTGTGGTGATTAGACCACTAAGCTAGACACATTGTCAAGGCCCCAAGTGAATCACTCAACAACAACAAGAACACCACGGTGTGGTGATTAGACCACTAAGCTAGACGCATTGTCAAGGCCCCAAGTGAATCAATCAACAACAACAACACGGTCTGGTGATTAGACCACTAAGCTAGACACATTGTCAAGGCCCCAAGTGAATCACTCAACAACAACAACACCACGGTGTGGTGATTAGACCACTAAGCTAGACACATTGTCAAGGCCCCAAGTGAATCACTCAACAACAACAAAACAACACGGTGTGGTGATTAGACCACTAAGCTAGACACATTGTCAAGGCCCCAAGTGAATCACTCAACAACAACAACACCATGGTGTGGTGATTAGACCACTAAGCTAGACACATTGTCAAGGTCCCAAGTGAATCACTCAACAACAACAACACAGTGTGGTGATTAGACCACTAAGCTAGACACATTGTCAAGGCCACAAGTGAATCACTCAACAACAACATGGTGTGGTGATTAGACCACTAAGCTAGAGACATTGTCAAGGCCCCAAGTGAATCACTCAACAACTACACAGTGTGGTGATTAGACCACTAAGCTAGACACATTGTCAAGGCCCCAAGTGAATCACTCAACAACAACAACACGGTGTGGTGATTAGACCACTAAGCTAGACACATTGTCAAGGCCCCAAGTGAATCACTCAACAACAACAACACTGTGTGGTGATTAGACCACTAAGCTAGACACACTCACATAAAGACCCATAGGCTTAGTGGTCTAATCACCACACCTTGGTGTTGTTGTTGAATGATTCACTTGGGGCCTTGACAATGTGTCTAGCTTAGTGGTCTACACGGTGTGGTGATTAGACCACTAAGCTAGACACATTGTCAAGGCCCCAAGTGAATCACTCAACAACAACATGGTGTGGTGATTAGACCACTAAGCTAGACACATTGTCAAGGCCCCAAGTGAATCACTCAACAACAACTACACGGTGTGGTGATTAGACCACTAAGCTAGTCACATTGTCAAGGCCCCAAGTGAATCACTCAACAACAACAACACCACGGTGTGGTGATTAGACCACTAAGCTAGACACATTGTCAAGGCCCCAAGTGGATCACTCAACAACAACAACACTGTGTGGTGATTAGACCACTAAGCTAGACACATTGTCAAGGCCCCAAGTGAATCACTCAACAACAACACCACGGTGTGGTGATTAGACCACTAAGCTAGACACATTGTCAAGGCCCCAAGTGAATCACTCAACAACAACAAGGTGTGGTGATTAGACCACTAAGCTAGACACATTGTCAAGGCCCCAAGTGAATCACTCAACAACAACAACACTGTGTGGTGATTAGGCCACTAAGCTAGACACATTGTCAAGGCCCCAAGTGAATCACTCAACAACACGGTGTGGTGATTAGACCACTAAGCTAGACACATTGTCAAGGCCCCAAGTGAATTACTCACCAACAACAACAACACCACGGTGTGGTGATTAGACCACTAAGCTAGACGCATTGTCAAGGCCCCAAGTGAATCACTCAACAACAACAACAACACTGTGTGGTGATTAGACCACTAAGCTAGACACATTGTCAAGGCCCCAAGTGAATCACTCAACAACAACAACACTGTGTGGTGATTAGACCACTAAGCTAGACACATTGTCAAGGCCCCAAGTGAATCACTCAACAACAACAACACCAAGGTGTGGTGATTAGACCACTAAGCTAGACACATTGTCAAGGCCCCAAGTGAATCACTCAACAACAACAACAACACCAAGGTGTGGTGATTAGACCACTAAGCTAGACACATTGTCAAGGCCCCAAGTGAATCACTCAACAACAACACCAAGGTGTGGTGATTAGACCAAGCAGTATTTTATGCCTGCAATAAATCTTGAAATGTTTCCGACTGAACGACCCCTTTTGCGTGCGCAATCGGGACCCGAAAACAAAAATCCACAATCCTGTTCATAATTGGATTACGTTTATTGTCGGGGCATGTGTGTGCGTGCGTGTGTGTGTGCGCGCGTGCGTGTGTGCGCGCGTGTGTGCGTGTGTGCGCGTGTGTGCGTGCGTGTGTGTGCGCGCGTGTGCGTGTGTGCGCGCGTGTGTGTGTGTGCGTGTGTATGTGTGTGTGTGCGTGTGTGTGTGTGCTCATTTGTGTTGGGTGGAAGCCAGGCGGGCCGGGCGGGACGAGCGTGTGGATTGAGCAATGCGCTCGGTCAGTAACTCTGTGAATCTGTTCGCTGGGGGGTGGTGGATTACAAGGCAATGAGATTTGCCCTACCGGTCAGCAGCCAAGTACCGTGTGTGTGTGTGTGGTGGGTGGCAGGGGGTGACTAAAACAATTCCACAACAGGCGAAACACACATGGACACTGTCGGGAATTCTGCACTCGTCCATTCGATCAGCTAATTGGACTTCCTGAATGTCCGAGCGTTCGGATATCGAGGGTCAAAACGGGAGGACCCGTAGAATAATCCACGCGACCACGGGGAGATCACGCAAACTCCAAATACACGTGTGTCAGGGTCAGGGTCGCACCCACGACCTCCTGCATACCAGGTAAGGTAGTTACCAGATCGCATATTGTACAGGCCATCTTGTCAATCCACTGCTGGAAGAGGGCCTCCCCACACCGTGAGGGTTATATGAGCATACTTCACCACGCTAGCCAGTGCACGGTTGGTTAGGCGGGGGAAGGGGTGGACGGGGCAGTTAAAGATATCTCACTCTTGATTTGATACATCACTCACCGCTCATGTTGGGCATGGCTTGGAACTGAATTCAGGTTGCTGCTGGGTTCATATCGAAGTGCGTTAACCACTGAGCCACAATTCTACGTAGTTAAACAGCGAGGGAAAAAAGTATTTGATCCCCTGCTGACTTTGTACGTTTGCCCACTGACAAAGAAATGATCAGTCTAAAATTTGAATGGTAGGTTTATTTCAACAGTGAGAGACAGAATCCAGAAAAACGCATGTCAAAAATGTTATAAATTGTACTCTTTGGTTCCGTTCGGTAAAAGTCACGTAGGTAAAAAAATAAAATAAAATCACGACGTTTCGGCCACAACACCTTCACTTGCGTTACGCGTTTTTCTCATTCGCGTTAAGCCGAGAGCCGTGGCGTTCGGGGATTCGCGGCGGATCTGCACGTCGCGCGGCTCGCCCCTCGGCGTTGTCGCGGCGGCGGCGCGCCTCCGTCGCTACACGTCGCAGACCGCCGAGCGCGGCGACGACGACGCGACCGCGCGAGAGGAGCCGCGCCGCGCACAATCAGCCCGGGCGCGAACACTTGCGAGACGAACGTTGATACGGCGCCGCCCGTTGCTCGGCTCGTTGATCAGGACGGGGTTAGCGAAGGGACAGCCGTCGTGGCTGCTTGGCCGGTTGATTAAGGTTAGGGGGCCAGCGTGGGGATTGGTGCTCGCCGGCTGACGAGGGTTTGCGAACGCGGCCGTCCGTTGCCGTCGCGTACGCCGCCGACTAGCCGCATTTGAATGCTCGCCCTCGGCCGAGCGGGGGCTATACGCACGTGGCCCGGACATCATCCAGCACCGTGTGGAGGCAGCGACGAGGGCTTGTTGGATCGCCGTGCACGTGTCGTGAAACTCCCTTCACGTGGACGTCGAGGCGCGCCGTGCCTTTGGGCTCGCCTCGGCAGAAGTTCAGGACGGCCAAATGCGGACTCCCGTCTGTTCGTGCTGCCAGCTATGGCTGCAGGTTTTTGTCGTACGTTTTATGTATATCGTTTATTGTTAAATTTAAAATTACAGTTCCTATGATTACTGTTGTTACATTGTTTTTTATAGCTTTATTTTGGTGATTCAAAAACATATGGTTAATCTAAATTGTCTTATAGTTGTTGTTGTTGTTGGCTTGCACCACATTGTGATTTTTGCACACAGCGTTTTAATAAGTTTTTTTTGTGTGTGGAATATTTCCTGGTTTATTCCAGGATGTTTCTGTTGCGCGTCGTCGCTTTAAGATGTTCTGTGTTCAAATTGTTTGTTGCGGTTGCACCCGACTTAAGAGCCGCATGGCTCACAGGGCTATACCTAAATAAATGAAACTTTAAACTTGAAAACTTGTTCCATATGATTGGAAGAGACTTCTACCGGGTGCTCCGGGTTCCTCCCACCTGCAAACACGCGTTGGCTGCCCGATAACACCTCAATGTATAGAGGCCTGGAGAGCTTGGGCAATTGTCGATATCGTTGAGCTCCCTCCTCCCTCCTTGCCTCTCTCCACGACGAGAGAGCGCGCGGACACTGAGCGGAGGCGTTGAGTAACAAGTCCACATCATTATTACCTCTATTTACGGGGGGGGGGGGGGGGGGGTGAGTGCCTTGGGTTGAGGTGGAAGAGGTGGAAGAGGTGAGAGAGCGACCCCCTTCAGCTCAGCTCAATGTTCACCGCGCCCACCGGATCCTTTCCCGCCCCGTGCCACGCGCGATGGGGATGTACACCCCCCCCCCCCCAGGGTATATTTATTTGCACCGCCAAGTTGCCTACACCCCGAGTGTTTGTTTACATCACGGCGGCGACGTTTACACAAACAACTCTTTACAAAGCGGCACCGGGACCGAGTGGGGGGGCAATGGGGATTGGGGTTCCCGGGCCCCTGGATAGGGCAGAGACACGTGGCGGCGATCGTGCGGCGAGGTGGAAACCTTCTCAACGGATTCGCGCGACTTCGACGAATTAACTCGGCGTCTTGAGAGTCACGTGTCAAACGATGGCCGCCGCGT